GGCTCTAGAGGGATTCATTCTCAATTTTTCTGGCTTCTAGGGTTTATCTTAATTCCTTAGCTTATGGCTCCCTTCCTTCTTCTGTCTCATAGGATTTGTGTGTGGGCATCTTTAGGGAGCTTTATTTTTCTTACCATAGGCACCTACCCTGTACCAGGTATGGCTACGGGCAGTATGAGATAGACAAAGAGGAGAAAGATAATAGCAAGTAAACAAATACATGCACCAGACAATTTCAGCTAGTGGTGTGTGCTTTCAGACGATACAAGAGTTCAGAAATTCACTTTTCCCCAGGCATGCCATTCATGCAATCATTTATACAATAATTTTGAATACCTCCTATGTCAAAGGTGATCTGCACATTTCAGGCAGAATGGTGAACGGATATAGATTCCATCCGAATGGAGTGTTCTAATGCAAGGAACAGATAAACATATATACATAGAAATGGATAACATGATTTCAGATAGTAAAAAATGCTGTGATTGAAATATTCCACATTCCTTCCCCTGCGTATTTACATTTTCATTTATTCATGCTTTTATTTAGAAAATCCAGTAAGGCTTTATTGCGGACTTACTGTGTGTCAGGCAAAGTGCTAACTAAGCACTGTGTTTACAGTGCAGAATCCCAATTTCACTGCTGTATCTTCACTCTAGTGAAGGAAACAACTAAAATGAATAAATACCATACATGGTGGTAAGTATTCTGAGAAAAGACAAACAAGATTCTTGGAGAGGACATAGCAGGGGTATCACTGCTGGCCCCTGGGTCTATGGCACCTTCTCCCCACCACTTCCTCTTTACTGGGAACTCTCATACTCATCCTTTTGGATTTCACCACAGATGTCTCCTCTTGAAGAAACAGTTTCAGGTATATAATAGGTACTTCACAAACACAAATGTTTTGTCTGTTTTTATTTTTATTTGCTTATATAATAGTATCCTTTATAAAATTTTATTTATTTATTTTGAGAGAGAGAGAGGCAGAGGGAGAAGAGGAGAGAAAGAATCCCAAGCAGGCTCCATGCTGTCAGTGTGGATCCCAATACAGGGCTCGATCTCACAAACTGTGAGATCCATGACCTGAGCTGAAATCACGAGTCAGACACTCAACACACTGAACCTCCCAAATGCCCCTATAATAGTATCATTTTCGTATCATACAGTACTTTCTCAACTTACCCAACAGATGGATGTTTATTATCCCAAGCGAGTCAATTCACATTACTGAGTAACCTGGGCATTATGATTACATTTTAGCAAAAGCAAATAAGTAAGCAAAATTCCTTTATATGTGTGTCAGTTATTGTATCTGTTTGTATAGGCAAGAAGAAAAGTATAGAAGAATATCTTTCATGCTGTTAGCAGAGAGCAAATGATCAGCTTTGGTTTCTGCATCTTTGTGCTAATAAATACTCCTGGAATGGATGAACAAAGACTGCTAATAATGGTTAAATAATGAGGGCACCTTTATAGTAGTGAACATCCACTGACCTTAAGGACTGAGTGGATTTCATCTTGCTCAAATCATAGTCTTCTGTTTGTGTTTTATTTTAGCTACATGTTGACATCTGGTTAACTAGATGTTTCATAAGTGAATTAAAAACCAAGAGAGCATAAATAATCAATTTCTGTACTATATCCAACTTGCTTAATAGATTCTTATGCCATAATTTCCTCCTCTGCAAATTAGGAATAATAGACTTTCTGTAATAACACAATTAGACTGGTTAAAAGGCACTTACATTCATAAAGTACCAAAGAGTTGTCGAGTAGAAGTGAAAACTCTCTAATTTTTCCTTTGTGACATCCATACCAACAGATTATGCTCTGGAAAAAAAAATCTATTATAAAGCAATGTTATAACCTGCCTTAAAGTTGAATGTATTTAAACAAATCTCCCCTTTTCCCATCACCTTTAAAATTCAGTCTTCTTCCGTTCTGGGTCTGGACATTAAGTGGGGATCTGGTGGAGGAAGAGCCAAATCCAGGCTAGATTATATCTTTGGGCTTCTTATAACCAATGCTGAGTCATTAGAGTGATTAGACCAAACACTCTAAAGGGTCTTCAGAGAGGCATCGCCCAAGCTTATAGATTAAGCCTACACAACTTGGACAAGCATCTGAGATGGTCTTTGAGGATGAAGGGGAAGATTTTTCTCCCTAATAGCAGAGTACAGATGTAGCCTCACCTCATGATACTACAGCAGCCTTCTTTCTCTTATTTTTGACTTCCCTTCTCGTGCATTCACTGATACTCAGCTTATGTCCATTGGCCATTTCCTCCATGCAAGAAAGCAGTAAAGGAAGAAGAAAGAGACACTAAGAGGTGCCTTATTTCTCATTTACACTCTCTGTTCTCAGCAGTGCCACCCCCATATCAAATTGTGTTTTCTTCATTATAAGCTTTATCTCAATTCAGTTTTTTCATCTATAAAATGAGGGAAATGATGAGATCTGACTTATATGGCTATTTTGAGAATTTAATAAGATAATTAATGTAAAATACTTAGAACATTGCCTTGAACAGTGATCACTCATGAAATTAAAGCTACGATGATTATTAGCAATATTAATACTGATCAATTATCATTCCACATTATTTTGTCTTATTAAGGATAGAGTATGTTTAGAGTTCTGACAGATGTGAAGAAATGCAAAAGTAAGAAATAATTAATCAACCTTAAAGCTGTGTTAAAGAAAATCTCACGAACAGCCCAAATTTCACTCCCTATTCATACGCAGTAGTCAAATAAGGAATTATTCCACTAAATGCATCACTGGAAACCTGAAGTAGCGTGATATCCCTGCCTTGTTATTTGTGTGGGCACAGCTCTTTGATACCTTCTCTCGGGGTGGCAAAGCACCATTTTCTCTTTCTCGTCTCTTCTTGTTTCTCTCTTTCATATTGTGTTATCTTTTGTAACTAAAATTTTCAGCTCTTCCAAGCACAGGCTTAGAGTACACAGACCCAGCTCTGAAGGTCGCAGGCCCAAGATGAAACAATTCAGCTTTTTTTTCTTTTCCTTAGAATATTGGGACTTCAGAGAGATTGCAGAGGGCTAGAACTTGGATAGATAGAAGGCTTGAATCACATTGGCTGTTTAAATATTCATGCAGCCTCTTCTGGCAGCTAACAGGGCTGCAAACTTTGCCCAGAAAAAAAAAGGGAGGGGGGGAGATAATTACTAGATTTCATAGCATTCTGAAATGACTGCTGTGAAGTAAAAACTTAAGCGCTGATGTTTGGTTTAATCTCTTAGGCAAGTGTATTTGTTTTTTTGTTTTTTTTTTTTTGTTTTTTTTTTTATTCAACATAGGACAATAGGCAAGTGATTAAATGCATCTCTAAGTATTTCTTCTGAGTATATCATCAGTGTTAGATACCCACTGACATTAACACCATAAAAATGTATTGTACTATCCAAGCTACCTCTTTTATAATTACTTTACTACCGACTTGACGTATTAACTGACACGCTTCCCTTGCAGTCAGCAGCTTTGCTTATGTAGTAACACAAGGTTTAAATCATCAGCGATTGAGCTGTACAATAAATCAGAATGGAAGAAAGAACAAATTATTCTTGAATGTGGTGACTTGCAACTTGAGAACATTTCATTTAGTGCAGTCAATTGGTACTATATGCTCTTCATTAGCATATGTGAAGACACCACAAATGTAGGTATCTAGTCCTTGTTTTGTTTGCTTTAAGGAGACATTTCCCCGATTGTAATTAAGTTTCTTTCTTGTCCTAATTTTGGCTGATAAAATTTAGTTAAAGCAAAGTAATTTCACAATTTCTGATAACATAAAAGCAAACCTTGGCCCTGCACTGAGGCTCAAATTCCTTCTTCAAAATACTGTCTACTTAGTGAAAATCAACTGTGCGTATATTTGATATATATAAACATATAAAAATATTTTATATGTTTTTATGTTATTTCTATATAAAAATATAAGGTATATATTTTATATAAAATGCATGTTAATAAATTAATAAAATATAAATATTATATAACAATGTATATTATTTTATATAAAAATATAAGTACATAAAATAATATATGTTACATTATATATTATCAATCAGCTGACTTATCAATTATGCATTATCCCAAAATAGCATACAAAATGTAAGCATTAAAAACACTCGTTCATCAGTTTGCCCCTTGTAACAGTAGTGATCTAAGATGTAAATTCAGATAAAACAATAGGCACATTAATCATTAAATATTAATAGTTTAATAGCTATATTAAAAGTTGAACAAAACCACTTAGAATATGAGTGCTCAGTGTTTCTAAATGATTAATATTACATAAGAATTGACCATTAGTAAATATCAGGTAAGTATAATGAAATAATCACCATTCTTTTTTTTGTTTGTTTATTTATTTATTTATTTTTTTTTTAAATTTTTTTAATGTTTTATTTATTTCTAGGAGAGAGAGAGAGACAGCGTGAGCAGGGGAGGGTCAGAGAGAGAGGGAGTCACAGACTGAAACAGGCTCCAGGCTCTGAGCTGGCAGTCAGCACAGAGCCCGACGCGGGGCTCGAACCCACGAACCGCGAGATCATGACCTAAGCGAAAGTCGGACGCTTAACCGACTAAGCCACCCAAGCGCTCCTTGTTTGTTTATTTTTAAGAGAGAAAGAGAGACAGAGCATGAGCGGGTGAGGGGCAGAGAGAGACACACAATCTGAAGCAGCCTCCAGGCTCTGAGCTGTCAGCACAAAGCCCAACATGGGGCTTGAACTGACGAACTGCAAGTCAGGACCTAAGCCAAACCAACTGAACCACCCAAGCACCCGAAATTATCATCATTCTTAAATTCTACTTCTAAGAAACGTCTTCCAAAATTCATAAACTACAGTTAATTATTTGAACCCTATAGGCATAGGTATAGCTATAAATATATATGTGTACATACAAATATATCAGATGTATATCAAGAAAATATCTTCATGAAAAGTTATGTTTTTCATTTAATGTTTCAGATGTATATTACCAACACAATCAAAGCCAAAGGAACAAGACTTGCTAAGCCCGTTTTATGTTTGGGCTTAATGTGTCTGGCCTTTCTTACTGGACTCAACAGAGTAGCAGAATATCGAAATCATTGGTCTGATGTGATAGCAGGCTTTCTGGTTGGCATATCTATAGCAGTATTTCTGGTAAGTAGAAATTTATTTGGATTTCATTGCATTTTTAATTAACTTTTATAATCACCTATAATACCAGTGTGAATCAACAGGTTTGTCTAAATGTGTTAGATCACATTATAATATGTTTATTTGAAATCATTCATTTCTTCCTCCTCCCTCATTCATCTTGCCTAAAGTCATATTTGGGGATGAAAAATCTATACATTTTACACTTAAAGGTGAACAAAATATTTTCTTTCTTTTTTTTTAATAGCATGTGACTCTTTTTTTTTTTTAATTTTTTTTATGTTTTTTATTTATTTTTGAGAGTCAGAGAGAGACAGCGCAAGCAGGGGAGGTTCAGAGAGAGAGAGATATAGAATCCAAAGACAGGCTCCAGGCTCTGAGCGAGCTGTCAGCACAGAGCCTGACGCGGGGCTCAAACCCATGAACTGTGAAATCATGACCTGAGCCAAAGTCAGACGCTTAACTGACTGAGCCACCCAGGCACCCCAAAATATTTTTTAAAATATTTTTTATTCATTTCTGAGAGAGAGAGAGACAGTGTGAGCAGGGGAGGGTCAGAGAGAGAGGGAGACACAGAATCTGAAACAGGCTCCAGGCTCTGAGCTAGCTGTCAGCACAGAGCCTGACGCGGGGCTCGAACCCACGAACCGTGAGATCATGACCTGAGCCGAAGTCGGACACTTAACCGACTGAGCCACTCAGGTGCCCCGCAAAATATTTTCATATAAAATGGAACAGGTTTGAAATGCTCAGTCCTCGGATGGTTTTCAAGATTGGGTTGCGTGGATATTTTAAAAATTTACTCAGGTCACCTCTCATCCTGGAGTATCTAGAACATTCTAAAGTACCTCCGAGTCCCATCACAGTTCTCTTCCTGAACCACCATGCAGAGCACTTGCTAACAGGTAAACCTCATTTGATAGATGACTTGGTTCCCTTCAGTATCTCGAAGTCCATGGATGGTTTCCAAAACAATACCATCTCAAGCCAGATTTTGCCAGGTAGTGAAGACAATATGTAGTGATGTCTAATGAAGTAAGCATGCCATCTCCAGCCCTATTATAAAATCTCCTTGGACTATGACTGCAGGTTTTGGTTGTTGGAAAATATATTTTAGTCTGGCTTTAGAAATAACCAATCCATTATAAGTGTGAGTGTATAACATTTAACCCAGATGGAAAATGTGTAGACTATAAATCAAAACATATTTTGGCATTGACACATTAGACTAGAAAAAAACACTTTATTTCCATTTTGATTACATTTAAATTGCTTCTTACGCTTAACTTCTCTTCTTCAGCTCCTTTCCCTAGTTTATAACCAGTAAGCGAAAACTTGTATGAACCTTTCCCAGCTAACAATTTTGTGTGCCGGGCATTTTAAGCAGGTTCTTTTCTGTAGAACCTCCTGTGGTAGAGTGGTGAGTATGACCTCATCCCTACCCCACACTCCGTGCTGCTTTTCTTCCTGATGTCCTTTGGTTCCCCAGGTGCCTGCGAGAATTAGGCCCACCCCAGTCTCTCTCCCAGAGATACCGTATAGCCTCAGGAAAACCGGGGCCCAGGCTTGGGCCAGACCCTTTTCCTTGCACCACAGTTAGAAACAGACTGAACTGTTTAAAACAAAACGAAGCAAACACCTTACATAAATCTTATGAAAACACCAAGCATCAAAATTTCAAAGCACTAGTGTCCCATGTAACTGCATTTCAGCCTCATGGGTGCAGAACATCTTCACTGGCATCTCATCAGTGTCCCTGCTTTATCTTTCTGTGGCTGGTGCCAACTCCCCTTCACTTCCAGTGACTAGCTTGACACTTTCCAAGAGCAAACCTAGAACTCTAGTCCCTTCCTCCCTATCTGAGAAGCATGTGGTGAATGAGCAGGACTGTGGATCCCCCTTGGGCTCAAGACCCACCTACTGCACATATTCAAAACATTCCACAGTGGGCCGCAGACATCCCCAGACACCTAGAAAATGAACTTATGGAAAGGTCACGTGAAAATAATGCTTTAAGTGTAGTAACTAAACAAGCGTTTGTTCATTCACGCGCAACCATTTCTGAGTGTGAGTGTCTACAGGTGCGAAGCACTGTGCCAAGAACTGGGGATGCAAGGAGGCTCAGATAAACATGATCTGTCTCCCGTGGGAGTTATAGTCTGGTCCAGGGGTCAGACCATAGTAAGTTATTCCATCAAATATTCCCTTCCTCTCTTCCTTCATAACATAAACGTTTACTGCACTCTTGCTATAATCCAGGCACTGTGCTTGGTGCTGGGGATAAATAACATGAAAAGGATAGAGCCCATGTACTTAAAAAGATCACAGCTGGGTGGAACAAGATAGACACAGAGGGGTTTATAGAGGGTTAAATGTAATGATATCAGTGTGTATACTCAAGAGATCTCTGTTGGGATTAGGGACCGTTAGGAAAGGGAGGTGATACATAAACTTGAAAGGTTTGTGGGGCACCAGGGTCGCTCAATCTTAAGCATCCAGCTCTTGATTTCAGCTCAGGTCATGATCTCATGGTTCATGGGATCAAGTCCCGTGTCTTGATGCTTGGGATTTTCTCTCTCCCTCTCTCTGCCCTCCCCCACAACCTCGTTTGCATACGTGCACACACATGCACATTCTCTCTCTCTCTCTCAGAATAAAGAGATAAACATTTTTTAAAAAAGAAAGCTTCGTAAAGTAGAGGTCTAAGCGGTGGCAAAAGGAATGACGGGCAAAGAGCACAGTGTATAGAAGCAGTATAAAATGCTTTGTAAAAGAGGCATTCATGGAGCTCTTTGTGTATCATAGGCCTGGGCACAGCATGCACACATGAGGGGAGGTGGCATCCTGGAGTGATACCTGTTGTCAAGTGTCAGTGACAAGAGTGGAAATATAAAAACACTGGACAGATGTCCTGAATGGCCTTGTAGGTTAGAATTGAGAGTCACTGTCAGAGTTCAAGGGAATTAAAGCTGGTTGAATCCCAGCTTCTTTTTTTACTCAGTTTGTGCCTTGAGCAAATTACTTAACCTTTCTGATCCTCAAGTTCTTCCTACTTATTTTTTTAATGTTTATTTATTTATTTTGAAAGAGAGTGAGAGAGGGCATGAGCAGAGTAAGGGCAGAGAGAGGGAGAGAGAGAAAGAATCCCAAGAAGGCTCCATGCTGCCAGCACAGAGCCTGACGTAGGGCCTGAAATCACGAACTGTGAGATGATGACTTGAGCTGAAACCAAGAGTTGTATGCTTTACCGATTGAGCCACCCGGGCAGCCCTCTTCCTCTTTAAATGAGGCCAGTAACAGCCTCCTTAAAGCTTATCAGGATTTAAAAGTTGAAATGAAAGAGTGTGTATGTTCAATGAATGGCTACATGAATGACTGACATCAGTTCCATAAATGATAGTTGGCTTCCTTTCAGCTCCTTTTACTCTATGGTACAATTTGTGCTTTGAAAATAGGTTTGCTGGAAAGTGAAACTCCGGGTGCGGATAGTGGAGGCACGTTGTACAGAACAGGGAAATAAGATGGCACAAAGCGGGCTTGTGTGAGCTATTGGAGAGGTTTGTGGAGGTGGAAAGTTTGGAGCTCAATGGCACACTAGAGATGAGGGAGTCGAAGAGGGAGCAGTCCGTGATGATTCCCGGGGTCCTTGTTTGGGCAAGTAGAACATTTATTCTGTGCAGCGATACAGCTCTGGCCTGCAGTATCCTGGGGTGTCTCCAGTTCTGCAGTGTGTGCAGGACTCTGAAATGATTCCAGAATAAATAAACACTAACCTACTTGCAGCCTCTGTGTTTCAGTTAAAGGCATCCACATCCCCTAGTCACCCAGACCCAATGTCTCGCATCTGCCTTTGACTCATTCTTGTCGTTCATCCCCCATGCCCGGTGATTCATCTGGTCCCAGTTTGTTGCCACTACAAAATATCTCCCCCACATCTTATTTCTTGGCCATTCTGACTATAAACTCTCAATTTTCGAGATCAGTGCCTCTGATCTCTCTTCTATCTCTCAGTTCCTACCTGCCTCACTTCAGACTCTCTTCCAAATACCTCCCATTCTGCTTCTCTCCTCATTAGAACATAATCTGCTTCTAATAACGAGACAAAAAAAACAAAACAAAACACAAAACAAAACAACCCTCATTCCTGCAGCATTAAACCCAGACACTTCCACCGGGCTTCCAGGAGCTTGTTATCTGTCTGCACTCTTTCTTCTTTTCCCTCCTTGCAGTGGAATTCTGTTCTTTATTTCCACTCAGTTTTCTTTCTGTCACAGAAGGTTCTGCCCAGTCTGTATGTTTGCCTCAGCAAGAATGACCATTCCTCTGTTTATTTTATTTTATTTTTTTAAAGTTTATTTATTTATTTTGAGAGAGAGGGTGGGGGGAGCAGAGAGAGAGAGGAGGAGGGAGAGAATCCTAAGCAGGCTCCACACTGTCAGCAGAGAGCCCAATGTGGGACTCCAACTCACAAACCATGAGATCATGGTCATGGCCGCTGAAGTTGGGCAACGGAGCCAACCAGGTGCCCCTCCTCTGTATATTTTAGAGAACAAAACAGGGTTCTGGGAGTCATGTGAACCGAGGTTTGAATCCTGCTTTTGCCACATGCTATCTGTGTGACCTTAAACAGGTCACACTTTAGCTCTTCATTTTTTCTAACATAGTGGGGCCTTCCTGAACTGTATTTAAAATGTCTTTCCCTTCCCAAGGAATTCTTTCTTAATTCCCCATTCACTTTTCTCCATAGTATGTTTTGACTTTTATATACCATATACAATATTTTTGTTTTTGTGGGTGTCAAACCGACTAGAACGTAAGCTGCACATGCAGAAGGCATTCATTTGTTTCTTCTCCATGTAGCCAGTACAGAATCTGGTATATAGGGGGTTCTCAGGAAATATTTGATGGATGAATGAATGAATGAATGAATGGGGAACTGTTTGATTGCTTCCCACACCTCTTTTGAGGATTAAGGGAAATCTCATATGTCAGAAGTGCAGTCAAGTGTGTGGTGCAGAGAAGACGACGCTGGTTATCATAGTCCTCGCTTTTTTCTTTAAATATTTGATTTATTTTTGAGAGAGAGAGAGAGCTTGAGCAGGAGAGGGGCAGAGAGAGAGAGGGAAGCAGAGGATTCAAAGTGGGCTCTATGCTGACATCAGGGAGCCTGATGTGAGCACACTGTGGGATCAGGAACTGGGTGAACTCATGACCTGAGCCAAAGTCGGATGCTCACCCAACTGAGCCACCCAGCGACCTTGGTCCTCACATTTGATGACTATTCAAAGCCTTTTTGCACTTGAAATTTTTCTCAAACACGTGCCAACTTGCCCAGAAAGTGTCCCTGATTACCTGGTTCTCCATTTTTCCTGAATTTCCACTGCATTTGAAGTCTGGCTTGTTACATTCTAATAAGGAATTATATTCTGTCCTGCTTATCACTCTCATTCCGTGTGCATTTTCTTTAAAGTTAGAGAACAGAATCCTCGTGCTTAAGAAAATACAAAACAAATGTTAGCTGAACAAAAGGTGTAGATTGGCTAATACTATTTTATACAAATGTATGCTTCAGAGTGTTTTCAAAAAAGATGCACAGCGTCGAGTCATGTAGTTCAAGTTTACTGAGCCATAGCAAGAACTTGTCATGTTACCATGTGTAATGTAATAATAACAATAAGAGTTATTGCAGTAGTCTTTACTACATTAACTCAATTATTCCTCCCAACAGCACATTGGGATGTAGGTATTGTTGTCCTCATTTTTCAGGAAGAAGTCTAGTTTTGTTGAGTTGCTTGCTCAGGCTCACAAAGTGACTAAATCAGAGAGCCGAAGATTAAGGCCCAGCCCTATTTGACCCCCAGAGTCCATGCATTTAACCCCATGCAACACAGATGTTTTACTAGCCACAAAGGAAGAGGGAAAATGACCACAAACAGATAAGATTATTATCACTACTGGAAAAAGAACACAAAAATATATGAGCAGTGGTGACTTATTAGTGTCCTTTTAGTAGGACAGGGTAGAATCATACACATGGAAGCCACTAATGTAAAAATAAAATGTTTCAGAGGAATGTCACTTTTGGATTATATAGGAACAGCAGAAAACGTGAGAATTTTTGGCCTGGACACATGCTCATTTATTAATCTATTCATTCACTGTGGCACTGGGAATACAATGGTGAGCAAAAAAACAGAGACAGCATCTCTGCTCTCATAGAGCTTACAACCTTAGAAGAGATTATGTCAACCAAGGTGTTATGCTAACAGAGGTCTAATTTCATTAGAAATGGGTGCTTTGATGAAAAGCATGAGCGATTGAGGTGATCAAAAAAAACAAAAACAGCTTGGGGTCAGAGAAAACTACTGAAGAAGTAAAACTGAGATAAGATACCACAGATGAGTAGAATATGGTGCCCAGAGTGTGGAGATGAATATTTCAAACAAAATGGAGTGAAAAGAAACAGAAGATGTTTGGGAAGCACAAAGAAGGAAGGCTGCAAAGGTGGGCAGAGTTTACACTCAGAGAAATGGGGAGCTCAGCCACAGTGGTTTTAAGGAGGGTGACCAATGTGCATTTTGGAAATATCATTCTGATGTCACCCTAAAAATAGATTGGAGGGAGCCAAGACTGGATTTAGGGAGACTTCATAAAGCTATGCAGGAATCCAGGAAAGTGGTGATGATTGCTTAGTCTTTGGAGTTGGTGATGGAGATAGAACGAAGCAGATATAAGAAATCAAAATTTTTCAGAAGGAAAATTGATCAAATTGAGTGACTGGTATAGGGGCTGTGAAGGGTCATCTGTTTTCAGCCTTGTGCAGTTAAGGAAGTGGACATGTGGGGGTGGTGTTCTTGAGAGGACCCAGAAAAAAATCAAGCTTTAGAGCAGATCTTGGGGCACCTGAGTGGCTCACTCTTGATTTCAGCTCAGGTCATGATCTCGGGGTTTTGTGAGTTCGAGCCCTTCGTGGGTTCTACGCGAGCAAGGCAGAGCCTGCTTGGGATTCTCTCTCTCCCTCTCTCTCCACCCCTTCCCCACTCACACTGTCTCGGTTTCTTTTAAAATAAATAGATAAAACTTAAAAAAAAAAAGATGGGAAGATCTTGGGTTTCATTTTGAACATTTGCTGAATTTTTCATACCTTTGAGAACCAAAAGAATGGACTAACTTGATAAGATATTGCAACTTTTCCACTTAAGAATTGAGAAAACCCAGACCCAGAGGCAGTCCAAAAACATGCAGACTTGGGATCAAAAATCAAATCTCTTTTACCTATGAGTTTTTACCTATGAGCATTTTTCTAATAGGAAAATAGTTCCATACTTGTGAATGTTAGCAAGCAAGACTTGTTAAATATTTGAATATGATTCCAAGGAAGATTTGGCAATTTCCTCCCTTATAATTTAAATAATAACAGTAATGAAGAATAATCATTATGCTAATAGATACTATTTAATGAATATCTACTATGTGTTTAAATAGTTCGCATATGAATTCTCAGCTGCTGCAGTGGTGTTGTCCTAACCCTCAATTAAGGCAAAGAGATAACTGATAAAACCTTTCAAAGAGTTTACCAAACCTAAATAATGGAAAAAGCAATGATATCCATTTCAGAAGCCTATATTAACTCTGGATGAACTTTTCTTCATCTCATGACTTCCATATATCTATGTATGTAATTATTTCGACAAATTTCACTTCACAAGAATTTGTAGCAGTTTTGCCCAATTTTTCACTAATTTAGAACATTAATGAAAAGGGAAACGTGTGTATACATTTCATGAAGTTAGTGTGAAACTGCTTGCTTGTTATGTTGTTATTGGCGAAACTTCTTGATATTATATTCTTTGTACTCTAGGCAGTGGTCCGTTGGCAAACTATAGCCCTTAGGTAAAACTTGGCCTGCTATCTATTTTTTTTTAAGTTATAGTGGAACACTGACGTGTCTGCTAGTTTATAAATTGCCAATGACTGTTTTCACACCAAAACAGTAGAGTGGAGAAGTTGCTGCAGAGATCATGCCAGCAAAGCCAAAAATATGTACTATGTAGAAAAAAGAAAGAAAGAAAAAAAAAGTGAAAAGAAAGGGGTCCCTGGGTTGGCTCAGTTGGTTGAGCATCCGACTTCAGTTCAGGTCATGATCTCACGGTTTTTGAGTTCAAGCCCCATGTAGGGCTCTGTATTGACAGCTCAGAGCCTGAGCCTGTTTCGGATTTTGTGTCTTCCTCTCTCTCTGTTCCTTCTCTGCTCACACTTTGTCTCTCTCAAAAGTAAATAAACACTGGGGAAAAAAAAAACAAAAAAAAAGTACTGTGTGCCCCTTGCAGTCCAAATTTTGACCCTTCCTCTAGAACCATCACTATTAGTTTTTTATAGGGTCGTCATTTGATACTGGATTTATCAAGTACCTATCTCCAAGCCTGGACTATTCCTTACTTTAAAGATATTGATGGCATGATAAAGTTGATGTATCAAATTATCAAGCTTTGATCTGTGCTTTTGATCTGTAATTATACTAAAGAAAAGCTTTCCAGTGGAACATCTGTGAAAATATACAATGTAAATGTGTAATTATATAGTAAGCATTTATTTTTTTAAAAAATTAATATTAGAGGACACCTGGGTGGCTCAGTTGGTTAAGCATCCGACTCTTGATTTCAGGTCAGATCTTAATCTCACAGTTCTCAGGATCAAGTCCCATGTCAGCTCTGTGCTGACAGTGCAGAGCCTGCTTGGGAGTCTCTCTCTCTCCCTTTCTCTCTGCCGCTCCCCTGATCATGTTCTCTCTCTCTCTCAAAATAAAAAAAAAATTTAAAAAAATTTAGGTGATAACTTCAAGTAAATTCTGTATTTTGGTTTGATAATAGACTATAAAACCCAGAAGAAAAGGCTGAAGAATACCTTACCCACTGAGTAATATAAGCAAATAATAGCAAGTAACTTTCCTCTGTTGTTTAATTCACTATTTCTTAAAGTGTGATTCATCTGCATTAGAAGCCTTTAGAATATATTTCAAAACGTGGCAACTCCTAGGCCCCCTTTTCATCTACAAAATTGGAGTCTTTAGAGGAAGGCTTAGGAATGTGCATTTCTAACAGTGCTGGGACTTTATTTTTATGTACACTGAAGTATGACAACCTCTGATTTAGTTCAAATGCTGTCACCTGTGTGGTATAATCAGTTGAAACAAGGGTCAATTTCCTTTATGTAAAAGGAATTCTATTTCACTGGTAACTCCAGTAAGCTATTGTTGAAATGCCAAGTATACATGGGATACAATAAGAGACAATAAACTAGGTTAATTAAAGGGATGCTACTAAATTAGAAAGTGCCAATTGTAGAAGGTTTATTATGAACGTAATGATCTTGAAGCAATAGAAATAATTAGCATTTAAATGAAGTTGTAGGTTAGCCACATTAGGGAAAGGTTAGCTTGCTATGAATTTGTATAAGGCTGTGATGTTATTTATGGATTGATTTGAGCATTGACTATAACCTAATTTAATGAAAATTTTGGAAAAATAAAATTGTCATTATTAACTGAGCTGCCCATTAATTGAGAAATTTTCTTGAACACATTTGCACTGGAATAATTATTAAAATTTATGCAAGATAAATCTGGATGTAAAGTTACATATGTGATATTCAGTGATTTTAGTACTTTATTACTATGATTAGATGTATTAAGCTACTCAAAGGGTCATAGTCATGAGGAGTGTGGCTTTGTTTCAACTGTATTTTTTTCCTAAAATTGTAGGTTGTGTGTGTGGTAAATAATTTCAAAGGACGACAACCCGAAAATGAACATATGCACATGGATCACCTGGCACAGATGCCAATGATCAGCATTCCTCGCGTAGAAAGTCCTTTGGAAAAGGTAACATCTGTACAGGTGATTCATAATTTAAATTCTCAAATGTGATTGTTATCGATAGCAAATGAATAATCATTGCTGAGAGTTCCTGCACATTTTTGATTTACTGAAACAAATTTAGAGTCTAATGTGGTATTTAGTGAGAATTTAGTCGCTGAAGACATCATCTTGGAAGAATGCAGATCACATTGAAAATATTTCTTTGAATATCTCGTGCTAAAAGCTGAGTATTTATGCATGGAATATGATCTGTACTTTGCTGTAACTTTGAGATAAGGAACATTATGCAATGGTCTCATGCAGGGCCAAATAATAAGATATTTTTATTTGAGAATACATGCATTTTTTCAGTAAAATAGATTTCATTCTTTACATGCTCTATTTATGTGAGAAACTGCTTAGTATAATGCCTAGGACATAACAGGGCTCACTGAATTTTGTTAAATCTCATTACAGAAAGGTCTGGCAGCAGGAAAAGCCCGATCATGCCCTCCCTAATCAGGGAGGTACTGAAGGAAAGGGTGGAGCCAGACCAGGTTGCATTTTGAATGGCAGGTCAAGGCTTCATTGGGCATGACAATGAACACAGAAGCCAAATATTTAACAAAAATTTTTCTTGAGACTAATCTTGGGAACTAGAGAGGGTAATATTTCTTAAATGAGGATGCAGTTATGTAGATTTGTAATTGGTTAAATGATTGCTCAGAGGGTTACTAAGGGTAACCTCAGCCCTGTCCATCTCCACATTTTGATCAATATGTTGGATGAAGAGATCAATTACATGCTAATCAGGAGCTTAGATGGTATGAATCAGTGAGGGATAATTAATACACCAGTTGAAAGAATAAAAGAGAGATTAGATGCAATTAACAACTAGAAATAAAGCACATGTTTTGTATTTGGATTTAAAAAGAAGTTCATGTAGGGTAGGGTACTTCTAGGTTAGCCGTGCAAACAAAAAAAAGGCTCTGGAGGGTACTGTAGGTTACCATTCAGCATGTGTCAACAGCATGTTATGGCTGCCAAGTTATAGGATCTTAAGTCCCACTTAGGGAAAATAAAATCGTGAGTGAGAGGATGGATGGTTGCTGTGCTCAGACTAACTTGGAATACTGCATACTGCCCTGGTGACATAGTTTTAAGGTGGGCATCATAAAATAGAGTAGTTGGTAATCAAATGTTTGTTAAATGAGTGAATGAATGTGTCCAAGATGGTGCGTGGACTCAAATTCATGGATTATGAAAGCCTGTGGAAGGAATAAAAAATGATTAGAGAGAAAGAGAACTCATGGAAGAAGCAATAACTTTCCATATTATATCTGAAGGACTATTGTATGTGATTTGTTTTGCCAGGGCCTCAGAGGTCACAATTAGGTTGAAGGAAAAGAAAAGTGTAAGAAGATAAATAATGTCTAGAAAGAAGGAAAAACTTTCTAAAAATGGAACGGCTTCCTTAAGAGAAATGAAATTTCCTTTTATTATAAGGATCCAAGAATAGTTAAAAAATCACTCTTCCATAATACTGTGGAGGGAATTCAAGCAGCAATGAGGATAGAGGTACTAGATCATCATTATAATAATAACAATAATAGTAATTACCATTTAATTATCTTTCAGTATGTGTCAAGTACTATGCAGATTGCTTATGTAAATTCCACAAACACACTCCTATGCTCTGCAAATATAACTTCATTACTTACAACAATTTAAAAGCTGGGTGTCATTAAGGTGGCAAATGCTGCTAATAGTCTATCAGTGTCCCTTCTCCCCTTCTTCCTTTTAGTAACTGAACTCCCCGATCCGATTTTAGCTACATCCACCACTGCCCAGCCATAGTCTATATTTCCCAGCTACCACTGCAGTTAGATGTGACTGGTCAGCTAAATTTAGACCAATGGGATGTAAGCAGAAGCAGTAAGCACAAACTCTGTTCATCGCTGGAAGACTATTGTCTCTGTCTCTTCCCACCCTTCTCATCAAGTGGAAAAGGTAATGCCTGGAAGTAATCTTTAACTTTTTTAAATGACCGATCCATTTTGACAGTGTAGGTTCCTGGATGAGCTCATGAAACAGTCTACATACACACTCCACTCTAGATGGTTCTGAAAAAGAAAGACACTTCTTTCCTTTTTGAGCCATTGGATTCCTTTCATCTCTTTTCCGCAGTGGCTTAAATGATGCCCTATGGCAATAAAGGTCTCCATTGTAGAGTTAAGGAAACTAAACTCCCAAGTAGTTAAGCAGTTTGTAAAAGTCCACATCACTGTTGAGCAACAAAACTATACAGTGTGATAGTTCAAGATACATGTATTGTACAAAATTAGATCTTTTTTGACTCAAGAAATATAGAAAGCAGAATTTAGGAAGAAATATTAGACAGATTTTGAAGACAATGGTCAGGGTAACAATTAGTCTTCATTTTATGTATCTCTGAAGTTAACTTGAACAGTAATTACTATCTTCTGTTGTTTAACATGTTTATTTGTATAAGGATTCTTTAGTAGCCTCCTAGCAGGGCCAAATATTCTGGTACATTATTAATATCATTCAATATATACAGTGTATATTTATATATATATACATCACTCCTGTTGTTGAATTTATGCAAATTGTATTTCATTTACAGTGATTTTCATCTACTTTTTAAAATATGAAACAAAAATATTTTATTAGAATCTATGGATTTCAAGATATTAGTGTTTATTAACTTCTTTCATTCATTTTTTGTTTGTTTATGACAAACTCATGTGCTCTGTTTTTACTTTGGTAGTTAAGGAACAAAGGTGATTTGACTCTGATTCGGTTCTCCCCTTGGCCCACTGTGCACTGGCACACAACTTGCTGAGCTCTGACTCTGCTCCCAGCTCCGCCCTCCCTCCCCATTTGTAGCCAGAATGTTGTCTGCACAAGACAGGGTCTGCTTCTACATCACACAGATCACAGGAAGATCATGAATCAAGGTCCTGGGGACACATCTCAGGCTTCCCTTTGGAGCTCTGATGCTAAGAGGACATGTATTTGTGCTCATCAGCCAGAAAGGGAGGAAGGCCATCACTTAAGGGAAGCACACTGTGTTTCTCTTTCTTTTATGATAAGGAGTACTTGGAGTAAATATATTGCTTTTCATCATAACTCATGATGGGAAACAAGTGAATGCAAAATTCTTCCCAGTAGTTTGATCTTAGTAATCTAATCGGTAGTTGAAGAGTGGCTTTAGGTTCTTAAAGCTGGCCCTCTGAGAAGAGAAAGAGAGTCCAGTATTAAAGTTCCATCTCCAGCATGCCAGTCGTGTGAGCACTGCTATGCCAAGCTGTCATTTTCTGCTTGTCATTTCGTGTGGAGAAGGCAAAGGGTTTCTTTTTTCTTTTAGAAGTTGTGTACTTATATAACCTCTCATGTTCAAAGTACATATTTGATAAACTGTAAGCTACAGAGTAATTACAGCATGCCAGCATTCTTTATTTTTATGCCAGCAATTTATCCCTTAATTATAGGGGGTTTGTCATATAGTTAATTACCACAGTTTATGAGGAAAAGTCATGATTTTTCTGAAAGCTGAGTAAATCTGAACATTCGTTACATTTGGTTTTATGAAAAGAATTAATCATCTATGGAAGCTGGCCCTCACATCTCATAGTCCAGTAAATTTTTAAGTTGCCAGTAACTTCATCACTGCTGTTTATAATAGCAAATCATAAAAGTCTAACTGTATCAGCTGTGAATGATTAAATCGATGCTGGTACATCCTACAATGGAATCTGGTACATTATAATGCAGTGTTTCAGCTCACACGTTCTGGAGGTAGACTAGCTGGGAATTGGGGACAATTTTGACCTTGGGCAGCTTATTCAAATACTCTGTGATTCAGTGTTCTCATTCCCAGAATTGTCATTGTGAGAGTTGAGCAAGCTTTTAGTAAAGCACTGAGAACAGTGCCTGGAACCCATAAAGCCCTAACCATTGCCATTTATAATTATTATTACCATTTAGCAGTTGAAATGGATGAGGTAAATCAAGACGTAGAAAGTTTTTTGATACATACTGTAAAGTTTATTTTTAAGTTGTTATATATAAAATGTGTGTGTGTGCATAATGTTATATATAAAATATGTGTGTGTGTATAATGAAGCCAGTTATGCAAATTACCACACAGATAATTTCTTTCTAGTAGGATCGAAAAGAACACATAGATGAGAGAGAGAGGAAAAAAAAGAGAGAAATTAGTTACCAATCTGAGAGCAATGCTTAAACCTAAGGAGGCAAGTGAGAGAGTGGAAAAGATTTTTTTTTTTCTTTCCTTGCCTTCCTTCCTTGGTTGGCTCCTTCCTTCCTTCATCACTCCCTCCCCCCCTTTCTCCCTTCCTTCATGTGTTTTGTCATGTGTTCTCTCTGTCTTTTTCTTTCTGTAATGAAAAATTGTATAACAAAACCAATTACAACTTTAAAACATTACCCAGTTTTCTTAAGCTGCTCTAAGGAGGTTCTGGTCATGCTTCTTCAGATTGACTACTGCAATGTTCAGATTTACCAGTCCCTTGGAAAGATTCCCTCAGAGCAATTTAATCATACGCTCCTTCCTCATGACTCACATGAACCTTTTAAAAGGGTTTGGTTTTTTTATCTGCCGAACTGGGCGTGGAGGACTTGGTTGTGGCTCACATGCCTCCATGGCCTCATGCCCAGGGTCCCGCTTCCTTTGGCACACCTGCAGCCATCCCCACTTCAGATCCTGTGTGTCCTGAGAAACCGCACACAAGTCTTGTGCATGTGGCTCTTATTCATAGGATCCCCAGTGTTCCCACCCCACCAAGGCTCCAGAAAACCAACCCCGTAGGTCACAGCACCCCTTCCTTTCAGACTCATCCTTTTCTGGCTCCCTTCTTTGAGGGCCCATGCAAACAAAAGCTTCAGTAGTGCTGGCTTCTGGCTCTCTCCAAATGCATGAAGATATTCTTTTTTTTAATTTTTAAAAATGTTTTATTTATTTCTGAGAGAGAGAGAGAGAGGGAGGCGGCGTG